TATGCATACAATTATTATCATTATTAAACGTTTATTTGACTACAACCATTATTACTTCCTTTTATGTGAAACATTCTAAGTTTAAAATAAATGTTGGCATTATGGCATTTCATCACATCATCCCAAAACTATCCAGTAATATTACATCTTTAAATTGTATTCTGTAGAAAATTGTTTATCATTGGTTAGAAAACTTTTGTGCATCCTCTCCATAGTCTTCACTTACAATTTATATAAAATTTCATGTTGTCAATCTAGTGTGTGTGTGTGTGTGTGTGTGTGTTGCATTTGTGCTGATAAATAAATAAAGGGAGACTAGTATAGATCTATTTCAAGCTATTTAGCTCTCATCAGCTAGCCATACCCTTACTGGGAATCGAACCTGTGGTGTATTACATATTAGGCAATTGTGTTTTATATATATATGTATGTATGTATGTATGTATGTATGTATGTATGTATGTATGTATATGTATATGTATACACACACACACACACACACACACACACTTTTTAATAAGGTTTTCATTGATACTTTATTGTATCAATGCAAACCAATTATATTGAAATATTTAAGAAATTTCATTTACTAAATAAACAATAAAAACATTTTATCAGCTGAAAAGGGCAAAAACCTCATGGATTTATTTTTTTAAAAAAATATTGCAATCTAAAAGTTCAAAAACTGTTAATTGAACAAAAAAGTTGGCTATTGATTAAATAATCAGGTTTTTTTTATTATTTCATTATTGTTATACTCTCCAGATTTATCTTGCCGGGCGACATAGACATTGATGAACTACTTTATGAAGAATTTTTAACACCAGAGGAAGAAGCAGAGTATAGAAAGGAGCAGGAAGCCATAAAGCGTCAAGAACTGCTAGAATCAGTAGACTTCTCAAAGTAAATGAATTTGTCAAGTTCAGTCCCTTCTTACTGTTTGTAACATTCACATACACGTTTATGAAGAGTCGAATACATTCCATTTCCAATTGGATTAATATATAAATATTTGACTAAACAGTAATCTTTGAATAGTCCAATTTTTTGAATTTCCTGTTGAGGTTGAAAATGTGGAAACAGGTACACCAATCAAATGCTAATAGTTTTTAGTTAAGTTGTCTAATACAAAGTTGATGGCTTTAAAACAGCTTTTCTCCACCTGAGGTTCTCAAGTTGTATTAGACTTCAACTCCCTGAGTTCCTATCTAGCATGTGAATGGTTCCTCTAGAGCAGGGCCGTCAGAGTCACGGCTGGCCACGCCCATGCCTGGTTTAGCGAAGTGATATGTCACGTGACTCTGCTGTCACAATGCGGGTTTGACACCCCTGCTCTAGAATATAGCAATAGCAGTTAGACTTATNAATCTTTAACAAAGATGTTCTAAAATAAATCCTAAGGATTAAATAAATTTTCTGCAGTGTTATAGGGAGGAGTTATACTGAAAAATTGAATACGTTTAACCAAGCTTTCCTGGATAAATAGAAGGGCCCTTGTGCTTGATGATTGCAATTGGTTTTTATTATACTTTTGGGCAATATATATGGGATAATTATTATTTTTTAACCAAGGAAACCAATATTTTGTATCGTGTGTCCAAAAGTAGATTTGAACTATGAGTCTATCCAGATCAGTTAATGAAGAATCCTAAAATCTGCTGATGGATTGAATGTAGGGCTAACTGGCTTTAATTTCCTATTTCTGCGTAGGATGGAAATAGTATTTTGTGAAACGTTTATGGCAAAGTGCTTTCCATGCGTAAAAATTCAGGCTCAGTTCATAATACATTTTAAGACTGTATTAGATTCTTGCCTGAACTATTGAAGAGACTATTACTTGGCCACATAGATTATACAATCCTAGATGGACACATGGATTAACCTGATGTAGTGAAGCAATCAATACTTTCCTTTCTTACTTAATTATCAGAATGTTCTAAAAAAAAAAAGTCAATGTAGTTTTTTTCCCTGTTATTTTTTTTTTTTGTGGGGCAGAGCAAAATTAAGAAGCGATCTTGGGTACTTCACGAATGCCTGGAAAGAGTTCCTGAAAATGTCGATGCTGCTAAAGAATTGCTCCAATATGGCTTAAAGGGGACAGACTTGGAGGCTCTTATAGCTACAGGAAGAAGAGAAGACGGTGGCAGGTTCGTTGCAATGGCTTATTGAGTCGGCTGTCTTCCTTTGCGGTCTGTTTTAAGAAAATTCTCATAGCCCATGCTGAAAAATAACTTGTGATGGTTGCATGACCGTCTCTGGTTCCTTTTGAATGCCACGATCTTACAGGAAAATGAAACGCACGAACCTGGCTCCTTACTTACCACGAAACAATTTTCCAAAGAATAAAATCTGATTGAAAGGTTAATCAGATACATGCAAAAACATGTATCTAGGAATAACAGAAATAGGAATAAGTGACCTTGGAATCTTTCATACAGTACCTATAATCTTCTTTCTAATACCTTGGCATACGTCTGACTCTGTTCTGCTAAATAGGGATCAAGCATCCAAATGTACTTGGGACTTTAGAGCAGCTATTTATTTGTTTATAGATTTATATCCCACCCTAAAACCTGGCCAGGCTGACTGGCATGGGTTCCTGAAGGAGAAGCTGTTGGCTAGAGGTGGCTGGTTCACTAACTGAGAAGACCAGCCCACCTTTCCCCTCCAAATGTTTCTTTTTTTTAGTTTGCGTTAATTTTTCTTATAATCTTAGTCCATTTTTATATTTATAATCACTGAAGGTTTGTTTTATCCTGATGTTTTATCCCAAGAGTTGCCTGAACCATGGGATGAATTACTAATAGATTTGATGATGGATGGATGGATGGATGGATGGATGGAAAGATAGATAGATGATAGATAGATAGATAAATAGATAGATAGATGATAGATAGATAGATGATAGATAGATAGATAGATAGATAGATAGATGATAGATAGATAGATAGATAGATAGATAACCATATTTCAGAGAAACATATTGCTGTCTGCAGTTTTGTAAGCATTTCTTTTAAATGTGATTTTGCATCTAGGTATATCTGGACATTTTAAAATTGTAGTCTTAGTAAGTTATATATATCCACTAGAGGTGGGTTGCTACTGGTTCGCACTGGTTCAGGCGAACCAGTAGTGGAAATTACGACTGGGTCGCTGAATATGTGGGGACAGCAGGCTCGCCACGCCCCCGAATCGGTTCCCTGGTCGCCGCAGCATGTTTTTTTTACATTTTTAATGTTCTGCACATTTACAGGCAACTGTGCCTGCACTGGCAGAAACCTATCCCTGATACACATACCTATTTTGTGTGTGTGTTTGTGTGTGTGTGTGTGTGTTTTGCATTTGTGCTGATAAATAAATAAAGGGAGACTAGTATAGATCTATTTCAAGCTATTTAGCTCTCATCAGCTAGCCATACCCTTACTGGGAATCGAACCTGGGCTATATTACATATTAGGCAGACATCTTACAACAAATGTAACAAAAAAGGCAACAGTAAAAATATTGGGTTTCTGCCTGGATGGTCTCTTGTGACGAGCCGAAGGA